ATAAGTACACTAAAACCTCTGTACTCCGGGTGTCCCTAATCTGTGAACACCAGTGGTACCAAGGAGAAAGCAGTTTTCCATGCTGCTGCTGCTCCCCTCCATTTGGGGGGAACGGAAGCATGCACAGCTGCTTCCCCTGCTGCTCCCACAACAGCGGGAAGTGTGGAACTACGTGTGACCCTGAGAGTGGGGAGGCAGGTAAGAGCCCCTTACCCACCCTTTCATGCCCAGAAGCTGCAGCACCCTCCCTGGCGCGGCAAAACCTTTACTCTGGCACGCACTGTTTCCCAGGGTTGCTGGATTAAAGACGTTCCAGTGTACTATTCAACTCAAACTATCTGCCACACAGCCTTGACAAAGTGTAAAGATTTTCTGGAAGAACGCTTTCTTCCCCTTTAAACTACTTAACGAGTGAGAAATATCCAGAAAAGAGCCCTTCACATAATGCACTCCCCCAAGGAAGGATCAGACTGACACTGAATTATAGAAATGCAGGACTGGAAGTGTACGCCTACACAGCAGGGCTAAAGTCAAATTAAGCTATGCAACTTCAGCTACATCAACTGCATAGCTGAAGTCGAAATAGCTTAATTCAGCTTTTGGCGCTGTCTTCCTTCCACTGCACTTACTCCTTATGAAATGAGGGTTACAGAAGTTGGAGTAAGAAGTCCTCCAACTCGCCATTATTTCGAAATAATGGCTTGCAGTGTAGATGCCTGTTATTCCAAAATAATGCTGCTGTATATACATACCCAAAGGGACCTGGATAGATCATCTAGACTAATCCCCTATGTGATGGAGTGCACTCACCCCTTTGGGGTTTTCCTGGAGTGTTGACAAACACACTGACATTCTCCTCCTTGCTCTCTGGGTATGGTGACCATATTTTCTGAACCAAAATTAGGGACACATTAGCCACGCGCCTGACCCCCATTAGTTGTGCAGAGAGGGCACCGGTAGAGCCAGAACATTCCCTGCTCTGCAGCACTCCTGCTGGGCTCTGCGGGGTCTCTGCTGGGACTCCGGCAGCAGCTCCAAGGAGCACCTCACTGGCTGCGACCAGCGCCCTTCCCCCTCTGGCAGAGGTGGCAGCCCCCTGTGGGTGGAGAAGGACAGCAGCGTGTGCTGCATGGGAGCTTGGCGGTCTGGAAACTACATACCACCAACAGCAGCCCTGGGTGCCCGCGCAAAGCAGCAAGGGAGCCACTTACGTGTGGGGTGGAGGCAGGGCGTTGCTGCTGTGCCGCGCTAGCACTGGGTGTGTGCGAGGGTGTCCCGGAGAGGGGGGGGAAATGGCAGTGCCATTTGTAGCTGGATCCCAATGGGTTTTCTGGGACCTTTATCAGGACACCAGGACAGCACCTTTAAATCCGGGAGAGTCCCAGAAAAAGGGGGGACGTATGATCACAGTATCTCTGTGACCTGTCCTGCGGGGCCAGATCTCTTCCTCTTCCCAGCCAAGGCACAGAGCCGAGAACACTGCCCTCCCCCCTAAAGATCAATATAGACACTGAACCTCTTCACGTCTGAGGAGAATGCAGTTTTGGGCACAGCTTTCAGGAAACCCACTCCCCAAATGGGACCCAAATAAATCATTCAGGTAAGCCCCCTTAACGATGAAAGGAGGATGTACACCCTGATTGCTCCCCCAGGTAACAATTATTTACATTGGGCTTGATAGTAAATAAAAGTGATTTGATTAAGTACAAGCAGTAGGATTTAAGTGGTTGCAAATGAAAACAGGCAGAGCAAAGTGAATTACAAACTGAAAATAAGAAAATAAGAAATAGTTGTCTCACACACTCAAGCTTATTGCAAACTCACCCAAACACTTCTTATTTTAGCTAACCCTCCAAGCTAGGGAAGATCTTTTCTCTCTGGGGTCTCTCATTCATTCTTTTGAAAGTGACAGGCGAGCCAAAGACAAACTTTGCATCCTAAATAGCCTATTTCCTGACAACTTTGCATCCTAAATAGCCTATTTCCTGAATAGGCAGGAATTCTGTTTCTATCCTTCCATGGAAAACTATCTGGTCAGGCCCTTCCAGTTAGGGAAAACACATGTTTTACTAAGAACAATCACTGCTAAGACTTAAAGGGGCTGTTTACAAGTGATCACCCAAACACTGAGGAAAACACCCTTGATGGCTTTAATTCGCACACTTAAAACAATAAACCATTCCATGTTCCATATTTCTAACTTTTCATACAAGAGTGATACATACGCTGAAATAAGATCTACAGATCCAGCAGATCGTGACATTAAAATTGATAGGTCACATGAGACATTTTGTCCAAAGCATCTTCAAGTTATGGATATTTGTATCCATAAGTCATTTTCATAAAGCATGGGGGACTGTCACAACCCGCACTGAGGCAGGACTAAATATGATCTCTACAAGGGATAGGCAACCAGGTGCAGTTGCTAGGATTAGCCTCTAGTAGGCCACCAGCACTTTCTTTACCTGCGCATCCACAGGTATGGGTGCTCACAGCTCCTGTTGACTGCGGTTTGCGGTTCTCAGCCAATTGGAGCTGTGGGAAGTAGCGGCCCGGCCTGTACCACTTCCCACAGCTTCTATTGGCCAGGAACAGTGACCCACGGCCAAGAGGAGCAGCAAGCAGCCGTTATCTTTTAAACCATTTTTTAGATAACCTCTGCTTTTGAATTTTTTTCCCCACACCTTTTTAGTTTTCCAACTGAAGCTGGATGCAAAAAAATTAATCAACAGGCTTACAATCAAGCTTGTGATAACCTCAAAAGTCTAGGTCATCTAAAAACCCTAACAGCCATGAAATCAAACCCCTATTTATGCTTAAGGCTGGAAGCTTTGCTGAGGATTTGAGGTATCTTGTTCAAAATCCCAGCTGTTGTTATTTTTCCTCCTCTCTAGAGATCTAGAGGGGAGACTTCCATGAAAGGTTTTAAGACTTTCTACTGCCCTTTTTAAGTACAGACTGTGCTCAACATCATTCACTGGTCCCTGGGCCAAACCCCCGAGACTACAAATGGGGAGGGTTTCTGCAAGGGGCACAGTATGCTTCCAGACAGACTGAAAGGACAGTCTGCAGACTTGTAACCTGCATTATCTCCATGAAAATAAGAGTAGCCACTTTATGGACTCTAATGGGACTCCTGAAAGAGGAGAAGAGGTAAGCCCAACTCTTAGGGAAGAGAACTTGAATCACATCACCAACACTGACTGCTGCCGGGAATGGACTGAGTGGAGCCAACTGCACAAAGAGAGACATGAGCTAGCACCATTAAGGACAAACAAGTCACTGCTATCAAAAAGGTCACAGAGGCCAACACCATTCATGGCACCTGAGACCTTGCACCTAAAACAGCAAGTGGGAAGGGGGTAAATTTTGTGGACGTCTTAACTACCTCAGCACAGCCCAGGCATATGTGATAGGTAGGAGCAGGACTGTTTTCTTCCTGGTTATTATGGGAGGAGACCTTGCCTTCTCCTGAAATTGAGAAGGCTCCAGGATGGGTGACAGGTGAACACCACTCATGGAGGTGGCTAGTCCCTGGCATCTCCCCCTCTGTCCAAGGTCCCACCCCCTGCTGTCTTCCCTCCCCCACGTGCTCCCATCAAACTTTTCTCAAGGGGTGGCAAGGCCTTATCCCTACCACCACATGAAAACAGAATTCCTGGGGCTTGCTGTCCTTCACCCTACTCACAGGGCCAGAAGAATTGTTTTCCATTTAGCAGTTTTGAGAAGGAAAACACCAAAGCCAGTGAAGAAACAGACATTTAATTAAAAATTGTTCAAAGATCCTGTGAAATTTCTGCTTCAGAGGAAGCCCTGGAGTCTGGCACATATGCTGCTTGGAGGCATAAAATTCTAGGAGTGCTTCCTGCATTACAATCCTAAACCCAGTTTTAGATCTGTTCCTTCTCTTGTTACCATGAAGACTGGGAATGCCCAATTGTTTTTTGGCCTCTGTGTCCAAAATGGAGGAGACTGAGAATTAAATTATAACTACTAACCTCCCTTAGCTCTGAATAAAAAGAGACAGCTGACAAGTCAGCACTAATTCTTTAAACTGTTTAATGAACTGCTCTGAATAGAGATAAACTTTTATTAACCTTCTTTGAAAACTGAATTGCAGGAGCTCTAATGAACTGACGGAAGGTTGTCTGGTTTCCCTATAGTTGCTATACATTTCCCAGTTTCTTCTACTAAAATGTTGGTACCTTAGTTATTTCCTATAGCAATACTCTTCTGAGTCCCATCATCTCCTATTACCAGGGCTCGACAATTAGTGTAATCTACTCGTCCGTGGTAGCCCCTTCTGACCTGATTTTAAATAGATGTAACTAACTTGTCACCTCAAAAAAGTTAATTGAATTTTAGTTGACTGACAAAAACCTAGTAAGTGCAGGATGGCAACATATAAGCTTTCCACCCAACTCTGCCAGTGGACCTCAGTCTTGACCTGCAGTTTTTCCCACTATTGAAGTCCTGTGACACCACAGAGCATTGTCAATTCACCACCTCTCTATTGAGATACAGTACAATCTGTATTCTTATGTACAGGCACATTATCAAGATACAAAACCAGATTCTAATCTCTTTTACAGAAGTGCAAATTAAGAGTTACACCATTTATGTCAATAAGTTATAGGACTGCAATGATAACTTAAGGCAGTCAGCTCTTAATATCATGTCTCACATTAGGGATTTCTGGAAGCCAAGTTTATTTTGTGAAAGAACGGCTCCCAACTTACTAGATGGAGATTGTAATATAGCATGGATGAAGAAATAAGGAAAAAATGTTGTGTTCCATTTAGCCCAAGCTTGCAACAGAATGGTGCACTGAATAGTGTTGATGCAGAATCACAAACAGAGCTGCAGACACGTGTGTCAAAAACTTTGTGTTATAGGCATATAGCAAGAAACAGATCTATCCTTTCCCCTCCCCCGTCTTCCTCCACTTCCTGCCCCTCCCCCTTTTTTTTGTGGTGGGTACTTCTGAGACTCACTCCTACCTCTCATCTGGCTGAAAGTGGTGATGAATTTGCTGGTCACAGACTTGAGTTCATTATTGGCTAGAGTGATGAGATGTATCCCTTCAGTGACATTCCTCATGACTTTGTAAATGCCAATAGGGAACATCATCAGCTTGCAGTCAGCCAAATCTGTAGTGAAACAAATTGAAAAAGACAAACATGCAGAGCAGGATAGCGTACTCAGAATGGCTTCAAGTAACTACCATGTTCACATATTTTATTCTATTAATTAAAAAACAACATAAGAAGAGACAAATTGTCAAGCTTCTAAAGTTACTGGTGCATTATCAATATACATTGCTCAGGGGACATATTTTACTGAGAGGAGTTCAAAATCATAGGTGCTGGGAATGCTACCACACCTCCTGGCTTGAAGTGGTTTCCATTATATACAGAGTTTACAGTTTGGTTTAATAGGTCTCAGAATTCCCACTAAAAAGTTGATCCAGTGCCCCTGCTCAAGATGATGCAACAAGATTTTTACAGCCTACAGTTTGCCCAGAGATATGAGAGTATTCGTTTTTGCTCTGAGGATGTTATTTCTCTGCCCCATCAACTTTTTAACAAGGAGAGTGACATTTTATCAGAGGGCCTTTTCCCCACCCAAAACCCTAGTTTGTATTCTTGTTGGAATTACTCTCATCAGACATTACAATGATCTAAAATTCCTAGGATGCAAGAACCCCCAATCACTCCCTCTCCTGCCCACGACATGCCCCCCCCATTCCTGAATAGAGCCACCTCCAAGGTTTGGCACAGAACTTGTCCTCTGGCTCCTGCAGGGAACTTCTTGCTCCAGCCCCTTGCACAGGGGGCACATGTAGCTGCTTTGTGGCTCCATGGCCGCAGCACAAAGGAACTGCAGGGCAGCCATGATGTAGGCCCAGAGTGGAGCGATGGAACAGAAACAAGGGAGATACACACAGCATACACAAACTGTACAATCAACTTCTGGTACAAAGCAGTTGTCTTTGGTCGGTCTGTAGCAATGATTATCATTCTTGCTGAAAGCTCTGCAGTCTACAGCACACCACTTAACTTACATGTGGCCAGGCAGATAGGAGCAAGGGGAGCAACTGTTGCTGAGAGATAGAAACCCAGTCCCCTTACATGTAGGGGCAAGCATCACCCCTACTGGCCCAGGGAAGTGCCAGTAAGGATGGCTGCACCCGAGCAGGGCAGATTATTTTTCAACTAAGGTGCCTATGGGAATCCTGTAGATAAAGGCTGCAATGGGCATGTAATGAAGTAGAAACTCCTCAGCCATCCTGTCCATACTCCTCCCTGATCAACAGCCACCCACTTTTGGGCTTGCACTGGCTGTCTGCAGGCAACGTTGCTGCTCCAGAGTATAACTGTAGCCTCTCATTGGCAGAAGTGTAAACGAGAAGAGATTATTTCTGTAAGCAGGGTCTGAATCAATGCTTCCATTACAGCCAGCTGGAATGAGAAAGAAAACCTGGGTGGCTACGTCTAGACTGGCATGATTTTCCGCAAATGCTTTTAACAGAAAAGTTTTCCGTTAAAAGCATTTGCGGAAAAGAGCGTCTTGATTGGCACGGACGCTTTTCCGCAAAAGCACTTTTTGCGGAAAAGCGTCCGTGCCAATCTAGATGCGCTTTTCCTCAAAAAACGGTGCTTTTTTGCGCAAAACAAATCTGAGCTGTCTACACTGGCCCTTTTGCGCAAAAGCTTTGCGCAAAAGGGACTTTTGCCCGAACGTAGTATTTCCACAAGAAGCACTGATTTCAGACAGTAGGAAGTCAGTGTTCTTGCGGAAATTCAAGCGGCCAGTGTAGACAGCTGGCAAGTTTTTCCGCAAAAAACCGGTGTGTTTATGTAAATACAGTTCACTCAGTTTGCTTATCCTGCTATGATATTCAACTGTTACAATGGTGTTTTGCTCATTATAACCAATTTGGCTGTTGTGGGATCACAAACTGCATTAACATTAAATGCAGGAATTGTGAGATATGATCACCAATGCTTGCAGTTATTGGGGGAAGGCAGAAAAGTCAGACTGTTTAACTCAGTTCAAAAGGAGAGAGGCTGACAGTGTAAAGAACCTCAGATGGACAAGGGCCCCCCTGCCAAGATTCTGTGAAGTTAACGGGGGGTGTAGCACTCTGAATCAGCAGGCTACATGCCCTCCAGGTGTGAGCTGCAAGACCAGTTCAACCCATTTCTTTCCCTCCCCCCAATGATAGAACTAGAGCAGAACTAGACTCCATAAGGAGTCTCTTTCATTAGTTTAAATTTATTCCAGTGGATGCTAGAATTTCTTGTGGCTGGATTGTGTTTTGGGCCAAGAGTTGAAAGCACTAAGCCTGGCCCAAAGCCAAACCCACCACAAGCTAACAGAAGATGCGACAAGCAGCCGGCCAACAGAGTGGCTGGAGCATAACGAGCAGTCAGCAGAGAGGAGTAATGGCCAGCAGGGCAGTGACAGAGGTGTGCAATTAGCAGTCAGCAGAGCGGCAGCAACGAGGTGACGAATAGCCAGCAAGGTCATGGCAGAGAGCAGCAAGCAGGCAGATGGCAAGTGACCAGTGGAGTGAGTAAGATGCCTCCCCCCACTCTGTATGGGAGGTGAACTCTGCAGATGCACCTCTGAACTCTGGGTCTGCCCTGACCAAGGGCAGCACCTGTGAGTTGGGTAAAGAGAAGGGTTGGGCATGTGAAGGGGACATTTATAAGGTTGCCAGATGGTTTCAGAAAAAATACCAAAAAAAACCCCTCCCACCCTCGAGAGTTAAGCAAAAAAACCAAACCAAAACAAAAAAACCACACACAGCATGGCCCCTTTAAAAAAACACGTGGTGAGGCTTTTCGGCCTTAAAAGGCTGCCAGCGGCTGCCCGCCAACTTGCCTCCTTGCATGGGACCAGACAGCTCCCCTGCAGAACCCAGTAAGCAGTAGGGCTGCCGGGCTGCCTCTGTATTGAGCCGGGATTTTCACCTTCTGACCAGGAAAAAAATCAGAGAGTACCAGACATTTTAGGTGTCTGGTATTTTCTGAATTTTTTTTACCAGACAGGAGGCAAAAATACTGAACTGTCCAGTTCAATACTGGACACCTGGCAATCCTAGACATTTACAGTGCTGGACTTAAGAACCTGAGAGGGAAAAAAAACATTGCCCAATCTATTTGAGGTGGGACAGTTACTTGTGGTTTTGGTTATGGTTTGTGGTGTTTCCCCAAATTAATGCTACACTACATCCTTTCCCTTTTATTAAAGCTTTCTTTTCTACACTCAGGCTATGTCTACATTGGCATGATCTTGCGCAAATACTCTTTAACGCAAGAGTTCTTGCATTAAAGTATTTGCGCAAGAGAGCGTCTACACTGGCATGTGCCTTTGCGCAAGAGCATCCGTGCCAGTGTAGATGCTCTCTTGCGCAAGAAAGCTCTGATGGCCATTTTAGCCATCGGGCTTTCTTGCGCAAGAAATTCATGTTGCCTGTCTACACTGGCCTCTTGCACAAGAACAGTTGCACAAGAGGGCTTATTCCTGAGCAGGAGCATCATAGCTCTTGCGCAAGAAGCACTGATTTCACACATTAGAACAGTGTTCTTGCGCAAGAACTCCCCGCCAGTGTAGACAGGCAGCATGTTTTTGCGCAAAAGCGGCCGCTTTAGCGCAAGATCGCGTCAATGTAGACGCAGCCTCAGACTTTGTGCTTGCGAGTGGGGGAACATTGCCTCTCAGAGGTGTCCAGAGGTGTTATGTGAATTTCCCAGGTTACTGGGTGGGGGCTTAAGCCAGTTCTGTATTGGATGGATGGAGAGGAACCCTAAGGCCTAGATACTGAACCTGGCCCTGGCTGCTGCTAGCGCTATCCGGCAGTAGGGTTACATTTGTATTTCTGCTGTTAACACCGGTCTGGCTACCCCGGTCTTTGCTGTCAGACAGTCTTGTTTTCGCTTGCTCCTCACAGACAACGGAACATGCCCCTCCCGCCACTCTGAGCAAGGATCAATAATTTCTTCTTGGCCTATGGTGAAGGTCAAGTATCTGTTGTTCTTTCATCTCTAGCTACTTGTTGTGGAAAATGAGGAAAAAGCTAAATTACATCTCACTCATGTATTGTGATGAGGGCCCTAGAACACCTATGAAAACAAATTAAGCATCATAGAATTTCCTTGAGCAAAAAGCACTTCATGTGATTGGCTCATTAGAAGTGACTAGAGGGCCTTAGTTGACCTGAGCATTGGTTTTGTTTTTAGGAGAGTAAGGGAATTGTTTTTTCATGCTAATGAACTGTCCAGTTCAGAAGGCAAGCAATCAACATCTGCCTCTTCAATATATATGTTGCTGTTCACTGGATTTCTCTCATAGGCTCCCTCAAGCTCCTAATTGAAATTATCTCCACTGTATTACTTTGCATTACAGACAAATACAATATTGAATCTATTGTTGTACATGGACATATGCAGCAGAATAAAGCATAGTAGGCAGAAGCACAGATGGTTTTGACAAACTTGAATTTTTATAATCACTGGCTGTGTCTACATTGGCATCCCTTTCCAGAAAAGGGATACTAATGAGACACTTCGGAATTGCAAATCCGCGGGGGATTTAAATATCCCATGCGGCATTTGCATTTACATGCCTGCCGCTTTTTTCCGGCTCGGGGTTTTTGCTGGAGAAAAGCACCAGTCTAGACGCGATTCTCCGGAAAATAAGCCCTTTTCCGGAAGATCCCTTATTCCTACTTTCAAGGGCTTATTTTCCGGAGAATCGCATCTACACGTAAATGCAGCCATGTAAATGCAAATGCCGCGGGGGATGTTTAAATCCCCCGCGGATTTGCAATTCCGAAGTGTCTCATTAGCATCCCTTTTCCGGAAAGGGATGCCAATGTAGACATAGCCACTGTGTTTTTCATTTGGGATTAATCTCAATGTATCTCAGTTCACAGCATAAACACACAGCGATTGACCTGATTAAAGCCCCCATTTGTCACATACTCCAAGTTATCTAAATCATAATCCCACACAACTAATTCACATTTTAAAATCAATCACTTGTAAAGTGTATAGGTGGCAGAAGATGGGAAATCCTTTGCTCTAGTAGCCCCCATCCTTCCCCAAATGACAGGCCTTTAATTGTGTCAGAAGGTATTACA